AGGTTTGGTCGAGCTGCCCAAGCTATCACATCCTAAGTCATCCCACGGGCCTCCTCCGTCCAGGATTGTCTCACAAAGGGACAACCTGATGAGCAGAGTCACCCACAGCGAAACGAGCTAGGTACCTGTATAGCTTGAGTTGCTTTTCCCGGATTATGCAAGTAACAGTTCCTATGCCGTTCTCACGGTGTAGCCGTCAGTTGGACACATGGTCCTGCCCACTGTAACACATGATCCAGGAGGGACTTGTTACAAAAATCCTCAAGGATAGATACCTAGGCACTAGATAGCATCTAAGTTTCGCTTCTGTAGAGTAAATATAGCAGTATCAAGGTCTAGCTTGGTCCTTCTGCATAGGTATCAATATCTCTAAATGCTCTTGCTGACCGATTTCATGGCTTCTGCTGCCAAACTAATCCTACTGACTTCCTGGTCTAACAACCTAGAGATACAGACTACACTACCAAGGTATGTAAAGCTCTCTGTGACTTCAACATCCTCACTGCAAGCATGTATCGACTGAATAGGATCCCCTAACAGGCCTCTAAAATCCTGGGTCTTGGTCCAGGAGACCAAAAACATGCTTCAGCCTCAGTGCCATTATATTCGTCGGCAGGAGATGGCTATGGCTATTCCCTGGAGATCGCAATGGTCATACCAGTAGTACTGTATCCACCCATGCTGATCGTGCCACTGCCAGGTCTTCTCATCTCCGACAGGCCAGCCATCTCAACTCCCAACTATTTCATTTGGGAGTTGTTCATAGGCCTCTCTCTATTCACTATTGAGATGTTATATGGCAGTGCCACCCTTGCCTGATTGGATGTCCTTCCTAATCAACCACAGTTCGGTGCACGAACACTTGTGCCACGGCGGTGACTTCCCCTATGACACTTACGTTTGACTTCTCAAGGCGTTTTTTCGGGCTCGAGCTAACAGTCAGAGTGCAGGCATTTTCACAACGGCCGCGTCAGGGAATTGAACTCGGGACCACAAGCCCAGTGCTCTAACCACTGGACCATCGCGGCAATCATATATATATATATATATATATATTTATGTTTATATATATGTGTGTGTGTGTGTATTACTCCTGAGGGTATCTATGGGATAAATAGAAATAAGGGTAGAAGGGACTCTTTATCCTAGACACAGTGTCTCAATAAAAACAAATGGAAGGCAACGGGTAACCACCTTGATTGATCCTTCGCTTGTATTGAGTTTGTGTTTGTGAGTTTGTGAGTATATTTTTTTGTATATACATGTTTATGTATATATATAAGTACACATGCACATATGTATAGATGTACATATATATAGATAGATAGACAGACAGATATAGATATATAGATCTGTGTGTGTGTGTTCTTGCACCGACACTTCAACACCTGCATGGACTGGCTACTAGGTAGAGCTACAGTCCAAAGTCACTGTGGACTAACTCTGGGCAATATAAAGGTTTCCATCCTTGTCGGGGTTGCTATTCTATCTCTGGAAAACCAAGTGGTGGCTCTTGATGCATTTGGCAATGAAGCGAAGCCCCTGGGGTTTGAGGTCTCCTAGACCAGGGCCAAGATCAAGGACTTTGAGGGCCTGCTAGGAGATCCTGTTCAGTCGGTATGTGCTTGTGGTAAATACATTGAGGTCACAGAGAGCCTTATATACCTTGGTAGTGCAGTTCCTGACTCTGGGCTGTCAGACCTAGAAGTCAGTAGACGGATTGGCCTGGTAACAGGAGTCATGAAATCTTTCAAGAGTATTTGGAGATGCCAGTACCTGTGCAAAAGGACCAAGCAGCGTGTTTCCAAGGCCCTGATACTGTCAGTTTTACTATATGTA